AAGGTTCAAGAGCAGTTGATGTCGACCGGGGGAAGGTTTTACCGGTCGGAAACAAAAGGTCTCTGGCTTTAGAAGGGTGTACTTCCTCTTAGTTCCTTTATAGCGGGGAATTATCGTATGTTATTTTCTTTTCATTTTTCGTTTCTTTTTTTTTTTTATTTGTTAACGCTGGGATTGTCACTTGTAAAGAAGTAACGAATAAAACACGTATTCTAAGAGCTTTTCGGACGATTGAAATCATTCTTGTTGTTACGCCAGTGTTGTGTTTTAGGTTTACAACCCAGACGGAAGATATCTTTTATAATTTTGAGAAGTGTCATTATAATTTCAAGGACATGTTCATTTTCTTTCTTTTTTTCTTCATGTTTGTTTTTTTTTTAAAATTATTTTTTCGTTGGCCAAGAATGTGTTTGATGAACACTCTATATATAGATATAAACCAAACCGTTGTTTATGAACCCTAGGGTACAACTGCTCGCAGTACAAACGTAAATACAACACGACATTTTTGAAAGCTTTGATTTTCCGGTGAAAAGGGAAAAAAGGCTCAAACTTGAGAATTTGCTAAACATGACCAGGCCCAGCTAAAATTAAAAAAAAAATGACATGTTCCATCAATTTAGGCGATCACAGCTCTTCACAGATTGCTTTCCTTTATGATCTATGAACTGACATGACTTCTTGCGTAAAGTAGAGTGGTTCTCCAATGATTTATCCTTGGTTTGGAATTCATCGATTTCTTTCTTTTAGTGTGGTTGCCAGTTAGGTCTACAGAGTTCACACCCTTACTATTTAAGCCATATCTAGAAGGAGAAGGATTCTTGCCTTTCCCAAGGGTATTAGTTCGAAAGTAAACACAGTTGACCATTCTACGTAATGATAAAAGTTATACTATCCCCAGATCCCTTCTAAAACTACCTGATGTAAAAAAATGTTTAGAGTGATTTATTTTTTCTCTTAGAATATCATGGGTGACTGCTTGGGAATACCAGGTGCTTTGGATGTGCGGGTGGTGTAATGGATAATGGCTTAGAATTGTTAATCGGTGTAACGAGTTCTAATTCCAGTTGGGTTCGTTATATTCACTTACACGCAAATACCAAAGGTATGAAATCACCGCTTTTCTCCCCTCCAGCTATGGGTTAATTACTAAGACGTATCTTGTTTTTTTTTTATGCGTTGTGTCCTCTCAGGACGTAGTCGATCATGGCACTCCACAACTTCTTGTCCTCTGTAGCTGTTAATAAATTTTATCTTTCGTTATTTCTCCTAAACTCTGTTCCGCCATCCATTTACTCACGCTCACTAAGAATGATATGTTTTGTTTTCCTCAGATTTTCCAAGCCCTCTTTCCTCATTATGTGCCCTAGAAATTTCAACGGTCTCTTCCTCATGTTAAGTATAAGTGTTGTTTTTGTTTCCATTTTCTCTAAAAATTGTTAGGTAAGTTATACGTTGTTTTCCTCTATCCCACTTGCCTTCAGTCTGACCTGTGAGTATCAAATTTTCCAATCCCCTTTTCCTCATTATGTGCCCTAGAAATTTCAACTGTCTCTTTCTGATGTTAAGTATAAGTGTCCTTTTTGTTTTCATTTTCTCTAGAATTTCGTTATTGCTCACATGTTCGGTTCATGGCATCCTCATCATCGTTCTGTAGAACCTCATTTATGTCGCCTTAAGTCTCTTCCTCGTCTTTGAGGATTCACTGTCATATAAAAGGAGAGATATCACGTAACGGTTCAGTACTCTTTTTCTTATAAGCTAAAAAATATTTTCTGGCTTTAAATAATCTCCAAAGGGTTTATAAGCCGTAGAAAACGAATTAATCAACCAATCTTAGAATGTTTCTACAAAAATGACCCCCCCACCAAAAAATAATACCCCCCCCAAAAAAGAACAAAACAAAAAACAAAACAAAAACAAAACAAAACAAAAACAAAACTAATTAAATAACCTTGAAACCAAGAACATCTAGACCTTGCGGACAGCTTTCAGGTTTAGACGCCTAGTAGCCATACAATCTTTTTTTAAAAATGGCGTTTATCGGATTTTACAATGAGAGATATGAATTGCGTATATATACAGAAAGTAGTTAGCTATTGATCTGTTTTATTTCTAATTCTTTTGGTTAGCGTTCAAGGATGTGTGATTCGAATTATACTATTTATATGTATTCTTATCTTATTTTGACGTTCAGTCATAAGAAAACATTTTCGTCTTTCCTATCTCGAAAAAACTTAGGCTAAAAAAACAAACAAAAAACAAAATACAGTCCTCATTCTTTACTCTGACCCTTGTACCCACTTATTCTTAGTCGGAATTGTTGTTATACACTCGGTCGACTCTCTTAGCCCACTTCCGGTCATTTCTGGCTTACGTGCCGCCATAGTGAACAGTATATGGCGGTCTGGGGACACTTCGGCCAATCTGACAATTCTATAATTACGACGATTGGAGGGTTCGTATGGTTGGTGTGTTAACTGTACATATCCGATCGGCACCAGTGTTATAAGCTGCTATTTCAAATCCTGATTTTATAGGCAACATTTTCGAACCCTCTTGTAACGTAAGAACCGGATTTTATTTCACTCTTGTTCAGTCTTGTGCTAACCTTCGTAACGGCATTACTTCTCGCCTTATCCACGGGAAACTTGTTCTAAGTTAATGAACGGATATCAGGAACCGCGGATAGTACCAAACTAGTTTTCCTATGTTTTTCGACCGTAAGGTAAGACATTAAACTACATCCGCGTCCTGGGTAAGACGATAAACGACGTCCAGCAGCAAGGTCTCTGATCAGGAGGTTTTGAGGAGTGTGGAACAACCTCTTAATTGCTGGGGTTCCCAGGTCCACCCTGACCCGAGGTGGTAGCACCTGTTAGGGTCCTAGCTATGGGTAAATAGTTAACACCCAAACTTGTGTAAAAATAGGTTTTAATACCAGAAATACTTTGTAATAAAAAAAATTTATTACCAACAATAATTTTTGAAGGAAAAATTATTATCAGCAATACTTAAAAAAAAAAAAATACC